CTAATTTCAACTCTTGGAACATCTTATATGCTCCGTGGCGTTCAAAACATTTTTGAAGTCCCAGTTCTAAGCCTTAAAGCATGCTGCACTAAACTATCAAGTAGTCATCATACCGAGCTTTTCCAAACGTTCATAAATTCTGCATCTTCTCCTGCAATCGGTCTGTCACCTAGCGGTGCATCAAGGATATAATTCTTCTGTGTAGTAATGAGGATAATCCTCAGATCATGGATCCAATCCGCATCATTGCTACTAACATCTTTCAACTTAGTTTTTCTCTAGGAACATATCAAAATAAACCGGGAGCTACATCGCGAGCTATTGATCTACAACATAGTTATGCAAATACTATCAGGACTAAGTTCATGATAAATTAAAGTTCAATTAATCATATTACTTAAGAACTCCCACTTAGATAGACATCCCTCTAGTCATCTAAATGATCACGTGATCCAAATCAACTAAACCATGTCCGATCATCACGTGAGATGGAGTAGTTTTCAATGGTGAACATCATTATGTTGATCATATCTACTATATGATTCACGCTCGACCTTTCGGTCTCCAGTGTTCCGAGGCCATATCTGCATATGCTAGGCTCGTCAAGTTTAACCCGAGTATTCTGCGTGTGCAAAACTGGCTTGCACCCGTTGTATAAGAACGTTGAGCTTATCACACCCGATCATCACGTGGTGTCTCGGCACGACGAACTTTGGCAACGGTGCATACTCAGGGAGAACACTTGTACCTTGAAATTTATAGTAAGGGATCATCTTATAAAGCTACCGCCGAACTAAGCAAAATAAGATGTATAAAAGATAAACATCACATGCAATCAAAAATATGTGACATGATATGGCCATCATCATCTTGTGCCTTTGATCTCTCCAAAGTACTGTCATGATCTCCATTGTTACCGGCATGACACCATGATCTCCATCATCTTGATCTTTTATCAATGTGTTGTCACATGGTCGTCTCGCCAACTATTGCTCTTGCAACTATTGCTATCGCATAGCGATAAATCAAAGCAATTGTTTGGCGCTTGCATCTTATGCAATAAAGAGACAACCATAAGGCTTCTGCCAGTTGTCGATAACTTCAACAAAACATGATCATCTCATACAACAACTTATATCTCATCACGTCTTGACCATATCACATCACAACATGCCCTGCAAAAATAAGTTAGACGTCCTCTACTTTGTTGTTGCAAGTTTTACATGGTTGCTACGGGCTGAGCAAGAACTGTTCTTACCTACGCATCAAAACCATAATGATATTTCGTAAAGTTAGTGCCGTTTTAACCTTGAACAAGGACCAGACGTAGTCACACTCGGTTCAACTAAAGTTGGAGAAACTAACACCCGCCAGCCACATGTGTGCAAAGCATGTCGGTAGAACCAGTCTCGCGTAAGCGTACGCGTAATGTCGGTCCGGGCCGCTTCATCCAACAATACCGCCGAACCAAAGTATGACATGCTGGTAAGCAGTATGACTTGTATCGCCCACAACTCACTTGTGTTCTACTCGTGCATATAACATCTATGCATAAACCTGGCTCGGATGCCAGTGTAGGGGAACACAGTAATTTCAAAAATTTCCTACGCACACGCAAGATCATGGTGATGCATAGCAACGAGAGGGGAGAGTATCGTCTATGTACCCTCGTAGACCATAAGAGGAAGCGTTATGAGAACGCGGTTAATGTAGTTGTATTCTTCACGATCCGACCGATCCAAGTACCAAATGCACGACACCTCCGAGTTCAGCACACGTTCAGCTCGGTGACGTCCCACGAACTCCGATCCAGCAGAGCTTCGAGGGATAGTTCCGTCAGCACAATGGCGTGATGATGATGATACCAGCGCAGGGCTTCGCCTAAGCATTGCTACGATATGACCGAGGTGGATTATGGTGGAGGGGGGCACCGCACATGGCTAAAAGATCAACTGATCAACTTGTGTGTCTATGGGGTGCCCCATGGCCACGTATATAAAGGAGTGGAGGAGGGGGAGAGGCCGGCCCTCCTAGGCGCGCCCCAAGGGGAGTCCTACTCCTATCGGGAGTAGGATCCCCCCTTCCATGTAGTAGGAGTAGGAGAGAAGGAAAGGGAAAAGAGAAGAGAAGGAAGGAGGGGGCGCCGCCCCTCCCCCTAGTCCAATTTGGACTAAGCCTTGGGGGGACGCAGCCTCCCCTCTCTCTTTCCCCTAAAACCCAATAAGGCCCATATACTCCCCAGTGAATTCCCGTAACTCTCCGGTACTCCAAAAAATACCTGAATCACTTGGAACCTTTCTGATGTCCGAATATAGTCGTCCAATATATCGATCTTTACATCTCGACCATTTCGAGACTCCTCGTCATGTCCCCGATCTCATCCGGGACTTCAAACTACCTTAGGTACATCAAAACACATAAACTCATACTACCGATCATCATCGAACATTAAGCGTGCGGACCCTACGGGTTTGAGAACTATGTAGACATGACCGAGACACGTCTCCGGTCAATAACCAATAGCGGAACCTGGATGCTCATATTGGCTCCTACATATTCTACGAAGATCTTTTACCGGTCAAACCGCATAACAACATACGTTATTCCCTTTGTCATCGGTATGTTACTTGCCCGAGATTCGATTGTCGGTATCTCAATACCTAGTTCAATCTCGTTACCAGCAAGTCTCTTTACTTGTTCCGTAATGCATCATCCCGCAACTAACTCATTAGTCACATTGCTTGCAAGGTTTATAGTGATGTGCATTACCGAGAGGGTCCAGAGATACCTCTCCGACAATCGGAGTGACAAATCCTAATCTCGATCTATCCCAACTCAACAAGTACCATCGGAGACACTTGTAGAGCACCTTTATAATCACCCAGTTACGTTGTGACGTTTGGTAGGACACAATGTGTTCCTCTGGTATTCGGGAGTTGCATAATCTCATAGTCATAGGAACATGTATAAGTCATGAAGAAAGCAATAGCAACAAACTAAACGATCATTGTGCTAAGCTAACGGAATGTGTCAAGTCAATCACATCATTCTCTAATGATGTGATCCCGTTAATCAAATGACAACTCATGTCTATGGCTAGGAAACTTAACCATCTTTGATTCAACGAGCTAGTCAAGTAGAGGCATACTACTGACACTCTGTTTGTCTATGTATTCACACATGTACTAAGTTTCCAGTTAATACAATTCTAGCATGAATAATAAACATTTATCATGATATAAGGAAATAAATAATAACTTTATTATTGCCTATAGGGCATATTTCCTTCACCACTCTCTCACCCCAATGTGGATGAGATGCCCTTCCAACATTCCATTTCACCCACATCATAAAAGGAAATAAGTGGCATGAGAAATGAAGATCAGGTGGGAAAGATTGTGTCAGACGACACGTGTCACTGCTTGTTCGAGTTGAAGAAGGGGCCACAACAGTAGTTTATGCTTAATTATGTTTAATTCTGCACTATGTTGTTAATGTTTACGTATTTTAAGTATTATGTTGATGATGTTGGAGTTTATATGATGTTTCCGTAAGTATGTTTAATTAAGTTCAAGTAGGTTGGTATAGAGATTCTATGTCGAGGCTTCATCAACTACGTCCATATGGATAAACTGAAGATGAACTGAAGGAGGATTGCAGCCCAAAAGACAAACTCAAAGAAGAAGCGTTGCCATCCACCCAAGTGTTGCACTTGTGAGGGTTAAAAAAAATCCTAAACTAAACTACTAGCGGGAGCGAAGGCACCGGGATTCCCCTCCCTGCCACCGGCTGCCGGAGCGGCATACAGAGAGGAGACGAATCCACGAGCTCATCGATGAAGCCTAGAGGTGAGCATTTTCCCTAGCCGCCGAGGCATAGATTCCTTCTGTCTCTTTGGAACGACGAGTTTGGGTTTCTTGTTGTGCACGCGACAACGAGATTTGGTGTTAGTTTCTTCGAGTATATTCAAGGGTTCAATAGCCACGACCACGAATCGGGTGCTGTTCCTAGGGGCACATTCTCGAAGACTTCCCATCTGCCATCGACAAGCTCAAGACAACTCCGGTAGGGGAGCAATGACAACAATGCGTTGACGACTCGTTCTGACAATAATAGTTATCGTTCGGTGGTCTAGAGACCTCAATGTAATTTTTTGTATGTTTAACATGTTTCGTACTTCGTACCAAGCCCCAAGGGATAGGGCTCTCATACCCAGCCGATGCTAGGGTTTCTTCTGCCTCCCGTCGATGCTGACACTGGTACCTCGTCTCATGTGGCCTTAGGGCCATGGAGGCTTGGTGGATCTTGGATCTTGCTGGCAGGAGGGCTTCGTTTTGGGATGCTTTTCTGAGATACGAGGCGGGGGCGGATATCTGATGGTGCCCAGTCCTCGTCTCGGTGGTGCTTCTAGCATCATCGGATGTCGTGTGGAGATTTGTCTCCGACGGATCTTGCGGGATTCTGTTAGCGTTTGTCTTCGGTGGATCCACATGGATCCGGTCGTGTGTGTTCGTGTGTCTACATGTTGGATCCTTTCAATCTGAACTCCTCTTTAATGGTGACGGTTGTTGTCCTGTCGTGTTGGTCCTATAGGGCCTTAGCACGACGAATTCCTGATTGTCTACTACAACAAGTTTTGCCCGGCTCCAGTGAGGGAGGGTCGATGACGGCGGCACGTCTTCGACTCGTTTCTGTGCTTGTAGTCGTCGCTAGGTGGTCTACGGATTTGGATGTATTTTTTATTATTTCTGCTATTTGTTGTACTATCATGATAGATTGGAAGTTTTCATTAACAAAAGTGTTTCGTACTTCCTCCGTAAAAACCACCGTTATATTATGGGACGAAGGGAGTACTTCTGATTAATTAATTTTTATATTGGATGCGAACCCTTTCCCAGAAAAAGGTTGGTATAGAGATTTAGTTAGAGATGAAGGGGCAGAGACAGAGATGTTCTTACCTCGCGAGATCCACCAGCAGCGCACACTCGCAGCCAGCTTTCATGTCGCGATGGCGTCGCGGCCGCCCGTCGCTGCTCCTGCTCCGTCGAGCCTTCCTCCTCGCAGCCGTCTCTGCCGCCGCCCTCTTCCTTCTCCTCAGCCATCAGGGCCCTGACCCCCGCAAACCCTCCTCTTCGTCTCCCGACTCGGCCTTCTCGGAAGAGCTCTCCGTTGACCCGCCTCCCCACTTCGTCTTCTTGGAAGAGCTATCCGTGGACCCGCCTCCCGCCTCGGCCTTGCCGGAAGAGCTCTCCGTTGACCCGCCTCCCGCTTCGGCCTCCTCGGACGAGCTCCATGTCGTGCCGCCTGACGCGGCGGCTGGTTCGGAGGGAGGGCCCGGCGGGTCAACGTGCGCGACGGTGGAGGAGATGGGGGAGGAGGCCGTCGGCGCGGGGTCGACTGAGGCGGACAGCCTCCGCGTCCGCGAGCTGATTCGGCGCCACTTCCTGCTCCACGGTGCGTAATGCCCACATTCGATTCAGTGCTTCGATCTGGGATGCCCTTGCACTGTGTTGGTTGATTTGGTTCATTCTCTTACTGTAGCTTGTAGTGTCCAATCCCGTCTCCCATGGAGCTGGTCTGAATCTCACTGATGAAAACATAGCATTACTCTACCCTGAATGTAGCTCCCGTTTCGTTGTCGAAGCAAACCTATTCTAAAATGTACTTGTCGTCGCGTTGTTTTCATCTGCATAAACAATAAGACTATAACTCTGTAGCCAGGCTAATCTTGAATAGAAAGACTTGCAGTTCCTAGGTTAGTTCAACCGCCCCGATGCTCACTTCTCCGGTTACCTTGTCAGGCGCTGCGAGAGTTAGGTCGCTGCCTGCAGCTGAGTTCTGCAAACAAGGCTTTGTGTTGGGGAAAGCATCTGAAGCTGGGTTTGGCAATGAGATGTACAAGATATTAACGGCAGCAGCTCTGAGTGTTATGTTAAACCGCTCCCTGGTCATCGGCCAAACCAGGCATATGCATTCACACTCAGTTACTTTTGTTATTTATCTATGATGGGTTTCCTACTTGCATCTTTAGACAAGCAAAACATAATTTAGCAATCGGTTCATCTTAGACAACCAAAACATAATTATTGTCATTCCATGTGGTAATGTGATGCAAATGATTCCAATGTAACACAGAAATGGTGGTGATTGTCCTCTTACCCTTTGTCTTTTGTTTGCAGGGGATTATATCCATTTGGACATTACATTTCTTATACTGACCACTCGTTTACTATTGGAGAAATCAAGCATTTATGGAGGAAAAACCGATGTGCCCAAACATATGGTAGAGATCTGAATGTGAGGGTAGACGATTTTGAGAATCCCTCGGAGACAAATGTTCTTTGTAGTGACTGGAGCAGATGGAAAGATCCAATAATCTGGTTAGCACTTCTCTTGCAACTTGGTACAATCAGTTATACGTTTTTACAGCTAGTTTTCTTCGCCTCAAGACCTGATCAGATTTCGAGCTCTCAGTATGTTTTGCAAAGAACTTTTGACGCAATTCATTTAAAAGGGTATGTTAGGTAGAAAACACAAAGATGTTAACTAATCCCCTATTTCATGGACAAGCTTGTTCAAGTATGTCGCCTTACATTGCCATGTGCTTATGCACTTGCAGTCAGAGAAATTAACAGGAAAACTAAATTAGATGAGGTTTTATATGTTGCGAATTTACACATTTATGTTTACTTCTAGAGACACATAAGGCCTTAAGGGTTCTTTCACAAGAATGGAGTGGAGAAAATACACGGGTAGTGGGGATATTGAGACAAGTTAACTTAGAACCCTGATACATAAGCTACTAAGCATTTCATTTCCTGGTTGGTAGGAAGTTCCTACAATGTTGAATTCAGAATTTCTGCTTAATTAATAGATGAGGCAATCTTTGCCTCCGTTTCGAAAAAAAAAGCAAGTTCTGAATTGTCTTTTTTTTTGTCTGCTGTGTACAGTCAGTAACTTAAATTTAGAAGCAAGTTCTGTATTGTCATTTTTTCTTTAGATCCTTGTCTCGTATATTGTAGTGAGATGCCTTTGCAGTCACTTATGGACATATGAAACTGTCAGCGTTAGTGCTATTTGCTTTTGTGATTCCATTTACCGTTTCGTATGTAATGGCACACTTTTACAGTACCATGTTGTGTATATAGAAATCCATGCAAATAGGTGTGATGTGTTGTGAACT